CCTCATGGTCATGCGGCGGATCCTCCTGCGGATCAATATCATGATACCGAAGAAAAACCACAATCATAATCTTTTTAGGGCTGTAGGGCCATAGGGCTGTAGGGCTATTGGGCTATGGGGATATAGGGCTACAGGGCTATATGGGCTATATGGGCTATTGGGCTATTGGGTTGTAGGGCTATAGAGCTATAGGGCTATAGGGCTATAGGGCTGTAGGGCTACAAGGCTGTTGGGCTATAGGGCTATATAGCTATGGGGCAAGGCTATAGTGCTAGAGGGCGATAGAGCACCCGGGCACCCGAACACCAAGGCACCCCCGGGCACCTCCGGGCACCCCGGGGCACCTGGGCACCCCCGGGCACCCGGGCACCCAGGCACCCCGGGGCACCCGGGCACCCGGGCGTGCGGCGAAATCGGCGGCAAACCTAACCTTACCATATGAATCCGCTAGGACCCCTACAGGGGCAAGCTCTGATTGGGGAACCATCACCAATATAACCACCACCATCATCAACAACAACATCATCATTATCGTTATCATCACCATCAGCAGCAGCAGCATCATTATCACTCACCACCACCACCCACCATCACCGCCATCATCATCAGCAGCATCATCAGCATCATCATCAGCATCATCATCACCATCATCATCACTACCCTCACCATCATCATCATCATCATCAGCATCATCATCATCAGCATCATCATCACCACCACCACCATCATCATCATCATCACCGTTATCATCATCACCACCCTCAGCATGATCATCAGCGGCATCATCGTCGTCATCATCCTCATTATCGCCATCACCATCACAAGCACTTGCATCATCAGCAGCCTCATCGAAATCCTCATGGTCATCAGCCTCAGCACATGCATGTTCGTCACCCCGTGGGCCGAGCGGGCGGGCCCTAACGGGCGGCGGGAGCGGGTCGGGCGGGCGTGACATCAAATTGTAGAAGCTACATTGCGTGCGACGCGCACGAAGCCGCACATGGTGCGACCATTGCTTTGGCGGGCGGGTCGCGTCGGGCAGACAACAATAGGCGAGCCTGCCGGGACAAGGTCGGGTCGGGCGCGAGGGACATCGAAGCGTGAAGCGAGCATCGCGTGGACTCCCTGGCGCGCTCCGTGCGCCAGGAGCCGCGCCGCAGGCGCTACCAGGGGGGAGGCCAGCGCCGATCCAGGAAGTCCGCGTGGACATCCGAAAATCCCACCACCCCTCATGGCGTAGGTGGTTTAGCGAGTGTTTTCTTTTCTCTTTCCAGGATCCCTCCTTCTCCTGCTCGGGAGCGGGGTTTATCACTGTTCCCTATTAATATACAACCCCTCCCCCAAACGACTGGCAGCCAAACAGGAGCATGCCGACCCTATGACCCTCACCCCCCAAATTCGGAGCCTGCATAACCAACCCGATGCGGGTCCCCCCCACCACCCCTGTCACAAAACAATGTAAGATACACTTTCGGGAAAAGTCTTGAATCATGTTCGTGAGGCCCGCGAGCTCTTCGTATTGTTTCTTGACAGGGACGGCGGGAGTGTCAGCATTGCGCCTGCTGTGCACAGGGCCACCATCCCTCATGCGCGGCCACCCCGCGATCACTGTCAAGTGGTTTTTGACAGGGACGGCGGGGGTGGTGGCACATGGCCTGCTGTGTGCAGGCCCATCAGAAACCATGATGGAAATTGGTTTTCGATAAGGATGGTGGGACGGACATGTTTCCCGATGTGTGCCGTCACGTGCGCAGGCGCACCTGACACGCTCTGCACGTGACCCGAACGTGGTGCACCTGGCACGGCTGAAGTATGCGGCACACCTGGCGCACGTGAGCAGGTGGCGCATCTGGCGCACCAGGCGTGGCTGGCACGCTCGGGCCCCAGGGTTGCCTGGCGCGCGTGGCGCGCTTGGCAAGCGTGGCGCAGCTCGCCCCAGCGTTACGCACATGGGGTCGGTTTTGGTTCCCAGTAGCTGTACATCCAAATGCGACTACTGAACATGCTGAGGCTCGGGTGTTACTTATGTGTTGGGAGAGCGGGTGGGAGTGAGCTGCGCGGGTGGGAGTGAGCTAGACGGCTTGCTATCTAGGAGGGTGTCTCGTTCCCTATTGATGTACACCCCCTCCCCCAGGTGACCAGCAGCCAACCAGGAACAATGCCGCCCCTATGCTCCCCAACCCCCCACCACCCCCAAACACACACACACACACACACACACACTCTGCCTCCAAATTCGGAACCTGTGCAAAACAACCCGATGCGGCCCCCCGCACACTTTGGGGCAAAGCGTTGGATCATGTTCGTGAGGCCCGCGAGCACGTTGTATTATGTTTGACAGGGACGGCGGGGGTGTCAGCATTTTGCCTGCTGTGCGACGAGCCACCGTCCCTGCCAAAACACAATGCAAAATGCACCTCGGGCTAAATCTAGATAATGCGCGGCCACCCCGCGATCACTGTCAAGTGGTTTTAGACAGGGACGGCGGGGGTGGAGGCGA